AACATATTTTTGAAAACATATAATATGTAGTTAAAAAACGATTTTTGAAAACATATAATATATAGTTTTTAAAATGATTTTTAAAAACATATATAGTTTTGAAAACATGTTTTTGGAAACATATAATATATAATTTTTAAAACGGTTTTTGAAAACATATATTATATAGTTTTTAAAAACGATTTTTGAAAACATATATAACATATATAATCTTTGAGAACATATTATATTGTTTTTGAAATATAATATATATTATATAGTTTTTTAATATACACATATTATTATATATTATTTTTAGTTTTTTTTACTTCCATTTTTTTTTATTTATTTTCATTTTTATATGTGTTTAAGGTCCAAAGTCAAGCATGGGTGACAAGACCCAATCTGCCTGACCCAACAGATTGGGATTCAAGGAAGTCCAAATCAAGTGGAGGCCCAACAGAGTGGTTTGACTGATCCAACAGACCAATATGGCAATCAATTGACGGGGCCCAAGAAGCCAGGCCAAACCACTAGGGCTTCATCATTAAGTACAACGCCACACAAATGAGGATCGTTAGATCAAGATAGAGATCAACGGCCATAATCGTAAGAGAACTATGGTTTTAAACCCTAAAATATCATCACATTACAACCAATCCTGGACCGTTGGATCTGCAACCAATCCAATGGCCAAGATCAAATCCTAGAAGGTTCCAGAAGCTCGAGAGCCACCGATAACAGCACATGGGAATCACGCACCGACGAGATTATTAGACGGCCGAGATTTTGGCGTTTGAAACTCAAAGATCAGATCAACTCAGAATGAACCATCTGATATCTTCGCTTAAACACGAACAACGAATAACTAAGAAACAACCCCAAATATCAGAGTAACTCAAACTAAACCATCTGAGATCTCCGATTAAACACAAACCATGAACAATCGATAAAAACCCTAAAATACTTAGAAATAACCCCAAAAGGCTCAAAAACCATCACCATCGAATGCCTGTATAAACCCTTGCAAGTCGAACAAAACAGACAATGAAAAAGGCATTACCGGAGCAACCCAAAAAGCAACCAAAAAACAAAGAGAAACATCGTATAGCAACGCAGAGAAAAAATAAACAAATATCGTACAAGCAAAACCAAAAAACATTTGAATATACATAAAAAACACAAAAACCAAAGTTTTCTGTCGAAGAATCGTCGGAAAAGTAGTAGATTTTGGAGCTAGGAATTACGAAGCGAGAAGTGGAAGGGTCTCGCCGGAAAGTTAAAAAACCAAAAGTTTTTTCGTAGATCTACGCTGATTAAGGGGTTTAGAATAATCGGGGCTCTATTTTGGGGTTGGGGTGGTGAGAGGAGCGTTTTGGGGGTGTTTAGGTTTTTTGGCTATCGAAGGCAGTGGTCGAAGCGATAGTCGGGACGGTAGGGTTACATCGGAGTGTGGCCGGCTTATGGCCGGTTAGGGGAAAGGTTTGAGAGGATTTTGAGAAAAGGGGGAGGGTTAAAATTTGAGAAAGGTGAGAAATTATATTTTTGGGTGTTTTAAGGGCTTTATATAGTGGGGACTAGATTGTAATTACAAGATTTTTAAATTATTTATGAAGTCCCTGTTATTTTGATGCGTAATTTATTTTGGTCACCTGTTGTAAATTTTCCCTTGAATTTTGAATTAATTCAATTCAATCCTTGTTATATTTTTTTATATTTTTGAAAATTTGACCCTATAACTTTTATTTTTTCTCCGTGCAGATTCCAATTAACTTCAATTTGATCTTTAATTTCAAATGTTTTTTTAAATTTAATCATTCTTTAATATTTCTTTTAATTTAATATTTTTTTCATTTATTTTTCATTTTCATTTTCATTTTCATTTTCATTTTCGTTTTATTTTATTTTATTTTATTATTTAATATCAATTTGGCTTTTTTAGGATAATTTTAATTGGTCAAAGGTAGGTAATTTGGTTCAAACTTTTAAATTTTAATTTAGCTTTTAATTTTCATAATTAACACAACCGAGAAATCGAATTGGTACCGAAAGGGTAGTACAGGGGTGCTAATCCTTCCCTGATTGTAATCGATTTCTGAATCCTACATATTTCTGGTAAAACATAGATCAGATAACGGTAAGTTATGGTATCCGATCGACCAAATTAAAAAATGATCAGTGGCGGCTCTTACACATCAAAATTAAGTCGAAACCCTATTTCAGGCCAACCCGAAAGACGATTATGACACAATGAAAGAGGGATCGAAGAAGCTATGTTTCATGGTTTGTTATATAGCAGAGTTGTGCTTATCTTCCTGCATTCAAATATACAACAGAGTTGTACTTATCTGTCTGCATTTAAATTAATGATTTAAAATTGATAAAAAAAAAATTGGGTACCTGTAAAATTTGGGTACCCAATAATGGGTACTTGCAACATCTGGGTGGGGACACGGGCCGACCAATCAACTACCCAAAGACTCGGCTACCCAAAGTTCTAGGTAACTAAAAACCTCGAGTACCCGAATTTGAACACCCCTAATCAATGGTATATTTTATCTAAAAAAAGATTTTGAAAAATAATTTAATTAATATTTTATTTAAATGATTTACCTTTAGATTTTTAACTAATTTATAATTATACGTTGAATCTTTTAGAATTTTAAATTTCTGTAAATTAAATTAATGATGCTTATTATTAGTGGTGCCCATCGGTACTGGTTGAAGGTGAAGGAATCATTCTTTTTCTTAAAATCAAATTGTTCAGGTTCATAGGTGAGTGAATCAGAACTTCTATCGAGGAAATGTATATATATATATATATATATATATAGCTTTGAAAATGATTTTTGAAATATATATATATATATATATATATATAATATAGTTTTAAAACATTTTGAAAATTTATATAATAAGTAGTTTTTTTAAAATATTTTATTTTTGGAAATATAATATTTTTATATTATATCTTATTTATTTAATTTTTCTTTTTTTTCTTTTTTTAAGGGGTCCAATAATGAAGATGTTTGGGTCCAATGAAACCCAATTGGGTAGCCTGACCCAGCAAACCCGGTGGGAGGCCCAAGCTTGCAAGCCCAACAAGAGGTTGTGCATTTTTCCAAACCCTAACAGTATCAATGGGAGGCGGCGCGAGCGTGTAGGCCACGCGCCAACGAGTTGCCCGAGATCTCGGCCAAATGCCCAGGACTGAACCATCCAGGGATTTCCAACCCAACGACGACCTCAATGTGAGCATATTGGGGTAACCCCAAGATCATCGGGACCCAAAATAGCCAACACCGTGGCTATAAAAAGGCTATGGTAAGGCCAAGGAGAACAAATAAACGGGTGAGGCCAAAGTAACAAAAACACACAACATTGAACCGACAAAAACACAACACAAATCGGAGAAACCAACCACATCACAAAACCAACAGCAAGAGAGATACACAGAAAACCGAAGCAACCAAAATCAAAAGCTAAGCAAAACAAAAAGCAGGCACGCCAAGAAAGTGAAAGGGTTTCACCAAAAAACGGTAAAAGTCGAACCTTTTCACTTAGATCTATGTCGTTTAGGGGGTTTTATGAGATTTAGGGTTCAGTTTTGGGATCAGGGGGTTGTGAAGAGTGTTCTGGGTGGTTTTGGCTGTCAGTGTCGGAGTGCGACGGCCAACAATGGTAGACTATTCCTCCGGTGGAGGTTTTCTAGAGAGAGGCGATAGAGAAATGAAATAGAGAGAGAGAGGAGTTGAGAAAATGAAGCTTGAAGGCCTTTGAAGGTCGGTTTTAAGGGTATAAATACCCCTCCCCATGCGATGTCATTTTGGGGAGGGGGTTTCTGTGTAAATTATAAGTGGGTAAACCCCATAAGTAGTCTTTTGATTTTTTAATCTTTATTTTATAGTCAGTGAATTTTTTGTATTTTTAATTTGGATTTCAAATTTTATTATGTTTACATTTTAGTTATCAATTTATATTTTTTTCGAATCTGGCCTAGGAATTTATGCATATTTTATTTGGTCACTAATGTAAATTATTTTCTTTTATTTTGGTCTTTTAATTTTAAAATAATTTCATTTTAATCAATAATTTTATTTGTTTGGGTATTTTGTTTAATTACTGTGTGATCCTTTAACATTTTTTTTATTATTACTATTTTCTATATTTCTTTCCTTTTTATTTCTTTTAGAAATTAACATTTTCTTAATTTTTATTTATTTCTCTAGCGATATTTTTTCACCTTATTATTCTTAATTTAACCTTTTAAAATTATTTCTTTTTGTTTAGCATTCAATATTTTATTTTATCATCTAACTTTTTTTTGACCTTTTCAGTAGTAATTGTGACCAATCAAAGATAAGCAACTCGAATCGATTCAATTTAAATTTAAATTTTTGCAATTAAACAATCGACAAATTAATTGGTACCGAAAGGGCAGTACAATGGTGCTAATCCTTCATTGACTGTAGTCGACTCCCGAACCCGACACATTTCTGGTAAAACGCAGATCAGGTAAGATGGTGTCCGATCAGCCTAAATATTTCTTTAAAATGATCGGTGGCTACTCTAATGCTTTTAATTCAAGTCGAAACTCAATTCCGGACCCACCCGAAAGACGGCCGTGACAATGAACTAGAAAATTATCAAATGACTTAATTTTGTATTTTCAACGACTATTTTTACTAACATTAAAAATGTATTTCCTTGGAGTGAAGACAAATTACATATTTATCTATCCTTATTTGTATGTTTTCATTTATGTCCCATATCTATTCTTGATTTTATGAACTTCGTTTTTATCTTTTAACTCCAACACTTGTATTTTAAATATACGTGTCAAGTAATTGTGAAATCAACAACAGTTAGCTTCTTTATTCTTCACTCTTTATTTATTTTATAAGATTTTTTATTTATAATATTTTGTATGTAAATGTTAACTTTTCGAGTTATATATTCAACTAACAATAACAATCCATATAACTAAATCAAAACTAGATAAAAGAAAAACAAGAAATAGCTTAATAAGACAGATTTATATCAAGCATTGATCATGTAAAAAGCTTTTGAAGTACATCAAAGATCTATATGCATGAGCTTACTGTAATTCCATATTCTTATAATTAATTATAACTCTTTTGAACGTGTATATGTATAGGTTTTTATGGAGGAGGAGAGTTGGTAGAACAGGCTTGAGTTATTGCTTGAGTAGCACGGTTGATATCAACACCAGCATTGCACATATTTGCAAAAGCTCCACTATACTTCATGTCATACCTTGTTCTTGATGTGCCTCCACACTGTTTCTTGAAACTCTTAACCTGCAAACTCATCGAACATAAAAATATTATTATGATCGCATTTTCGGTTGCGTTGCGCTTATCTCGATTGCGGTTATTGTAAGTATTGCGATTGTGAAATAGGTTTCGGATGACACCTTTATCACTATATAACGGTCGCTATTCCGATAATATAACGCTATTTAAATCCTTGGTTTGAGCCACTTACAAGCATCTTGAAGCAATCCCAATCATGAACGAGAGGACTCCCAGCAGATTGGACGGTGTTGAGCATCTCTGAAATCTTTTCAGGTCCAAAAACAACTGATATAATCTCATTTACACTCTGATCAGTGTGTTTCCCTAGGGAAAGTTCATCCATCAGCTCCTTGTGAGCTTCGGTCTTTCTGGGAGAGCCTTCCGGAGCATTATGATACTGCAAATATACGATAATAAATATTTTTTTTGAAGATAATAATAAATATTCTTTTAATCAAGAAAAAAACATATACTATTTACGGAAATTACATATGTAGTCACCTAACTATCACTTTAGTTTCCTTTTGGTCACCAAACTATCATCATTTTCAAAATCATACCTAATGTTACGTTTTGATCACCTATCGTTAAAAATAAACAGAACTGCTGATGTTATATTATGTTACAGTAACACGGAAGGCAGCATCACCGATAATTTGTTTTATTGGTGGGTGACCAAAAATGAACCAAAGTGATAGCTGGGTGACTAAATGTGTAGTTTACCCTATATTTATGTCGGGGTTTAAGAAAACGAACCCTATGCCAGAAATGGAGGAGGCTGGCATCATGTTGGCTGACAATATGTGGAGTGGTTGTTACACTGGAGTGATGATGATGATGATGATGAGGTGAATAATAATTATCATTATTTGGATTTGAACCCAAATAATTGAACACAGTATCCTCTGCTATTCCCTTATTTCCATATTGCATCACATGAGAACTAAAATCCACATCGTCAACTGCTGTCCTTCTTCTGACCTGCAATCATTCACAAAGTTTAATCTTATTTTAATTAATCACATGCATTCAAAGTATGAGTCTAATTTTAAATTGGTCCCTAAACTTGTAAATGTGTCAATTCATCCCTAAACTATGACTATCATTCTAAATTAGTCATTAAACTTTTGAACATTTCAATTTCATCCCCAAACTATGACCTTCATTCTAAATTGATCCTCAAACTTTTTATGCTTCTAATTTCATCCCAAACTATACGCATATACTAATGACATATCTTGTTAATAAAATCGTTGGAGTAAATTATATTATTATATGTTTGAAACAAAAAAAGCCAAGTTTTAGGCTAAACTATGGTCGAAACTAATTACATATTTGGATGAATTTGGAATATTCAAAAGTTTGGGGACCATATTAGAAAGAATGTCAGAGTTTAAGGATGAAATTAGAATGTTTAAAAGTTTAAAGACTAATTTACAATAAGAGTCATAGTTTGGGGATGAAATTGGAATATTTAAAAGTTTAAATACCAATTTAAAATGAGGGTTATAGTTTAAGGACATATGATGCAATTAAATCTTTACTTAATGGCGATTCATAATCTAAACACACTTACCACTTGATATTGCTGCTGCAGAGTTTCATTTCGCAGATCATGGATGTCACTGTCCATTTTGGATGAAAAAGTAAAATATTAAAATTCTAATCACCTGATATTTTAAAATAGTACGGATACGGATACAGACCTGTCTTCCAACCAAGAAATGCTGAAAATATCACCCAAACAAGTGTCAAATTCAGAAGGGGGACTTGGGAAATCTCCAGGACAATAAGATGCCCAACTACTTTCATTTGGATTTGCTGCTGTCACTGCATATATGTTATTTATATCTCTCGGCAGAATTCCTTCAAACATGCTTCCTGATTCACATGCTTCAACATATATAACCTGCAACACATATATATACATTCATTCAAAGTTAAATAAAATAGGGTAAATTATACCTTAACTATCACTTTTGTTCCGTTTTAGTCACTCAACTATTGCTTTCCCTTTCAAAATCATACTTAATGTTACATTTTGGTCATGCCACCATTAAAAAATTAACAGAACTTTGGGTGTGACATATTTTAAATTTTTTTAACGGTTGGTGATCAAAAAGGAACAAAACTGATAATCGGGGTACTAAAAGTGTAGTTTACCCAATAAAATATTACAAGAGGGTTGTATTATGATATAATATTGTGAAGATTAATAGAAACACCATGCTTTTGTAGGTGTTAGCTGCATGTTTTTGCTTCAACGTATTCATCAAGTCCTGTGCAGTAAGGTATTCTCCAGAAGGCATTCCTGATAATACAGAGAGAAATTGATTAACAGAATGAAAAAAAAAAATTAAAGACATTGTTTTGTTTTGAAAGCTGCTAACCAAGTAAACCGGCGGCGCCGTGATCGGCATAATATATGAAAATATAATCATTTGGACCGCTGTCCACAACTTTCCCACTTCCTCCTGTGACAGCAGTTTTGTTCCCAAGAATTGCTCCAAAAAAATTGTTCACATTTACATCTTCCCCTGTGTAATCCTATAATATAAACCCCATATTAATAAGCAATATATAAAAGGGTAAATTACTTATTCAGTCATGCAGTTATCACTTCGGTTCTGTTTCGATCACCCCGTGTACTATTTTATCAAAATCATACCTAAAGTTCCATTTTGATCATCCGTCGTAAAAAAAATCGACGATGATGTTGGTGTGTCACCATAAGGTAATACCATATCATTATTGAAAAAATAGTCGAGCTACTAAAATGAAACCAAAGTGGTAGTTGAGTGATTAATACAAAGTTTATCCGATATAGAAAAAAGGATTCTGAAGGGAAAAAAAGAGAGAAGAAACCTTGGGGACTCCATCATAGACATCTTCTCCATCAGGTTTATTGATAATGACACCAGGTCTGGGATTGTTGCCGTCGAATGCGATATCGTCGTACATGAAAACAATAATGTTTTCGTCTTCTAACCCACCATTTCTCAGAACTTGATACGCGTGACATACATCAGCCTGCGAAAAAAATTATTATATACGTCACAATGCGTTTAGTAAATAGATATAAATCCACTTTATTTATGTAGTATCAAATAATGTTACCTGATGCCTGTAATTCTCATAACCATTTGAGCCAGCAATTAAAACAGCCCATCTTTTGCCTTCAATATCGTTGTTCGAAGATAAATGGTATGGATTTCCTTTGAGTTGTCGACTTTCAACGGCAATGCAGGAGAGTGCAAGCAAAAGAAACAAGCCTCTGTAACTCATCATTTTTAATCTTAACCTGTCAAAAATCCAATGCAATTCAAAACTATATTAGTATTCACTAGTAGTGGGAAGCTAGTAATAGATAAACCCATCATTATTGGATAATTATTTTAGTTGTCATGACATAAATAAAACAAGGTTGATGAGAAAATCATATTGTAAAGTAAAAGAAGAAGAAGAAGAAGAAGAAGAATAAAACTGACCTGTTCAAGAAATGATTTTGTGGTTGGTGAGAACGGGTGATGACCTTGGAACACTATTTATAAGGTTGAGGTTTGGACTTTGGAGTGTTTGAGACGCATGGTTTAGGGTTTTGGGGGTGAAAATGATGGGTAACGTTCCATTGCCTTTTGGGCATTATTATTTTTTCAAACTTTGAAACTTCCTTCATTTTCGATTCTTCCTTTGCTTGTTTTGGACCAAGGAAGGCTTAATTTATTTTCATTTTTTTTAGTTATTGATGATATACACTTTGTAAATATAGTTGTTCGAACCCGAATCTTCTATAAAGATTTAATATTTTTTACTATTAAAGTCACTCAATAGATGGTGGTTACAATATATTATTTGTATAGAATTTTCTTAATCTATTGATATCACATACATATCCTGAAAATACGTGTTCAAATACATGCCCCTGAACATAACAACATTTTGTTTTATCATTGAATTCTTCTAAATGATATTATAATATACTAAAAAGGTTATTTTTATATATATTTATTGATTTTTTCATTAAAGATGTATATTTATTGTTGAATAGTGCAAATAAAAGAAAGAAAAACTTATAATATTTTAAATAAAAAATTATTTTTATTTTAAGTAGATATTAGAAGGCGATTGAAATTTTTATAGCAAGTGTCTATGTCTTATTTATTGATTTACCTACTTTACCCTTATAAATATCAAGTTTTAACTCATTGTTTCACACACCAAAAATTATTTTTTTAAGTATAATTTTTCTCTTTCTGATTTGTTTTTGAAAAGAGCAATATTAGAGTAGGAACTTCGAGTGTACTACGTTTGAAAGATTATGCTAACAATAGGAGGACAACGTAAACGTTTTGAGATTACATTAATCTGAACAAAATTAGTTCTAAGACAGTGAATTTTATCATAATATACTAATTATATTATTGTTATTTATTTATTATCTATCATTTATTATTTGGATTAGTTAATACTAATGTTTTTATTTTATAGCACTATTTTAAATAAGATTCCTTTAGTCCAATTCACGTCACGCAAGCATTTTGGCAAATATGGTATAAGATTTACTCAGATTATCAATAACATAAGATGGTGTGAGTAAATGAGTAACGCAATCGAATACTAGGCGAGTCCAGTAGAAACACAGTCGCATTTTTTATATTATATTTTAATTATATTTTATATCACATGTCTAAATATTATTAAATTTATATATTAAAAAACATAATGAGCATGGTCTTATATTCCCTTTTACATGATTTGAAATTTATTTCTTTAATAAGGAGAAAGAAAAAAGTTGTTTGAAACCGAATTCAGTATTTGGTAATTGGTATCAGTTAAGATTTAATTTCAACAAAATCTTATCTTTACAAATATTTGATTTTTTTTTTAATTTTGAGTATATGATATTAATTTATCTATAACATTAACATATTAGGCTTAAATACTAAAAGTCTTTATAAAATAATTAAAAAATTATTGATCGTTAACAGTAAAAATTGGATTCAATCGAGTTTTTAATTCTAGAATTTCAACCAATTAAATCTTTTTAGTTATAATTTTTTTAACTCTAATGAACATTAAGTTTGTTGAAGTAAAAACACCTTATCAAATGAAAATTATTATTTTTTCATAAAAAATACTAAAAAAATTCAAAAGAGAACCAAAAGGATAAAAATGGAACCAATAATCAGATGATCTAATGAGATGAGGTGCTAAATTCTTTAAACAATGTTAGGGGTTTGAATCTTGACATTTACGTATAGAGCAAATTGAGTTAATATGTTCGTCTCATAATGGGCCTTTACAAAACTCGATCTAGATTAATTGGTTAATAGATCATATATCATTGATTAATTCAAAAAAAGGACAAAACGGAAATTGAGAGAGAATTTTCCACATGACAATTTCTAAAATTACTGTAATAAATATCATAGATCTTAAAAATAAATTTCTACTAGCAATATAATTTCAAAATATTTTTGGCGCCATTATTATTGTGCTAATTTTGCCCAAGCCACGAAGATTAGAGTTAAATAATGGTAAAATTGTGGAATTATTTCTAAACGGTGGAACACAATAATAAGATTAAAAAACACGTTTTTCCCGTGGGTTAAATTGGGCCAATAATCCAATAGGAATAATTATTTGGCCCAATATGCCAACTTCATATTTATTTTAAAATTTACGACAAATGTTATAGTGTAAAGTAAATTTGTCAAGTCCACATGACGAGTTTGTCTAGAAATTATTTTTAAATGCGTTGAATTATATTTTAATATAACAATTTATGGCAAAATGTTTTTGGACTTTAATTGAATTTAATAAAAGTTTTCAATGTTTTAAAAAATAATTCAAAGTCTATTTAACTTGGAATTGAGCACAAAATGTTTTTTTGGACAAGAAGTACTAATATTGTTCTTACAATATCGATACCTCATGAACGGTACCAATATTGTTCATATGGTACAGATACCAAAGGTAACGGAAGTATCAATACTCACTAGGTAGTATCGATACTACAAGCATTGCTCAAATTCCAGAATGCAAAAATGGTATCGATACCTAAAGGGGTACCGATACTACTTCACAGAGTAGTATCGATACATAGGCTTAGTATCTATACTGTCAGGCCTAAAGGCTAGTAACGACTAGTTTTATTTAAAAATAAAAAAGGTAGTACCGATACTTCATATAGGAATACCGATACCCTCTGTACTGGGCAGTTTTGTTTTGTAGAGAAAAACATCTCCAACGGCTCTAAAAGACTCCCAACGGCTAGAAACGGCCACAACTTTATTCCAATATATAAATACAAGTTCAAGACACTTGAAGAAGGGTTAGAACATCTATCCAAACAATCAAACACAAGAGAAAAGCTTTTCACACTTTATTTCAATTATCTTGTAAATATTTTGTTTTTGTGAGCTAAATTCTTGTAAACACCCTACCTTTTAGAGGTTTTATTTGTTTACTTCTTTTTACCTTTGTAAAGGGGATTGGTTCTAGTTTAGCCAAGTGAAAAACTAGGGAGTTGTAAATGTTACTCTTGATCCTTGAAAAGAAAGAACAAATTAGTAAATTTGTTAGAAAATCCTTAGTGAGGAGCTAAGAAAGTGGAGGTAGACTCAGTTGAGAAGTCAAACCACTACAATTCGTTGTGTCATTTTCTCTATCTTTCATTCTCCTTACTCCCTAAATCATTTTTGCCAATTCACCCCTCTTGCAACTTTTTTGGTTGTTCAAATTGAGCCTCTTCGATCCTAACAATTGGTATTAGAGCTTGGCTCGTTAGAATACTTCACATCCTTAAGAAGATCCTCGAAGAAGCTCTACCGATTCCCGATGCAACCGACAAAAAGATGACTTCAACCTCCGATGCCTACTACATTGAAGATTCACAACCGGTCAACAAGTCACCCTACTTCAATTGAGCAAATTATGTCTATTGGAAGAATATAATGATGATCTTCATTCAAGCAAATGATCTAAGAGCTTGGAACTCTATCATGAAAAGATACACCATTCCAACCGGCGAGATGGACGATTGGAGTGATGGAGAGAAGAAGAAGTTCCAACTCAATGGTATCTTCTAACTCATATGAATTAAATTCACATTCTTTTGATGAGTTACAAGATGCTTATAATGACTTGTATTTGGAATTTGAGACCATGAATTCCAAATATAAGAAATTAATTTCAAAACTTAAAGTTGAAAATGATTTGGTTTTGAAAACAAAAGTTGATTTTGAAAAACGAAATGAATCTTTGAAAAATGATTTAGAGTTTTCAAAATCCAAAATCAATGATTTAGAAAAAGAAAATTTTGATTTGAAAGTTAAGCTTGAAAGCTTAACAAAAGAAAAGGAATTAATTTCTAAAAACAACTCATTATGTTTAAAAATGGCAAAATGCTCACATTGCCATTTTCATGGTCATATGGAACATGCTTGTCCTGTAAGGAAAATAAAATCTTTTAAAATTAGAGAAGTATGGCTTTCTAAGGGAACAAGGGGCATTGAAACTAATGTCCAAGGATCCAAAGAAATTTGGATACCAAAATCTACTTAAATGTCTCTTGTAGGTGTGTGGGAGCAATGTTGATGAAAATGAAGATGTTCAAATGCTCTAGCCACACTTGAAAAAGAATGGGTAACCTCTAAGCTTAAAAGCTTTTTGATTTTGAATAATTGGTTGCTCATTTAGTTTATGCATGCATGAGTTTTAAACTTAAATGATTTTGTGTTGATTTTTTTTTCTCATGTATGTTAAAAGGAAATTGTGATGAATATTTTAAAGTTTTAATGATTTTTCATAAATTTTTGTTCATCATAATGAATTTTGGTCAAAATTGGGTTTAAATGCAAATGATATCTCTCTAACAATTGATATCAATTTTCAAAATGCTTTGATTTTAAAATTTTAAGGTTTTGACCTAACTTTAAATGTTTATGCATGTAATTTAAAATGCAAATGATATTTCTCTAACAATTGATATAAAAAAAAATTTAATGCGTAACATTTTTGGAAAGCTTTATGCATATACACTTAATTTCAACATTTGGTATTGCATAAAGTATTTTAGATTTGGATATATTGAATTTCATGTGCTACTAACATGTTTGTTATTCTTTGTTGAAATTCAATTTTGTTTAAGTGTCAAGTTCTTAAAGTCAAATTTTGTTTGGAATGCACTTTTTGAGGGGGGCTTTTAATTTTTCAAATGATTTTTATGTCAAATTTATCACTTACTCTCTAATGTTATTTTTAAATTTATTATTTTTTATATAACAAAAAGAGAGAGAAGTATGTGTTTGAAAAATTCAATTTCTTAATGAAAAAGGGGGAGCTGAACATTTGCATTCTTTTTCCAACAATTGACATCTTTTTCAGTAAATATTTTATTAAGGGGGAGTTTTGCCAAAAATAAATTTTCAAATGTTTTGTTTTATCAAAAAGGGGGAGATTGTTGAACTATATTTTTGATATAACAATTTATGGGAAAATGTTTTTG